AAATCTAAATCTAAATCTAAATAAAACTGGCTGAAGCAGTAAAAGCAATAGAAATTTGGGAAGAAAGTGATCAAATCAGCTTATAACACAGCTGTCCATGCACTGGATTTCAGGAGATCTCATTTAAACAACCTTAGAGAATTACTCCATCAATCTTTCCCAACTATTCCAGATGTTTTGGAACCTCAATTACCAGAATTCAAACCATGGGCTGCCTGGGAATTCTGGGTGTTGCAGCCCCAAAATTTCTGCAGAGCACTAGATTGGGAAATAGGTTGGTGTTCTAATTTGGTTTTTTTGCTTTCCTTCAATTTTTCCCCTGACTATTTATATTTCTAAGTGCGGCATCTGGATTTTGAAAGATAGGAAGAACATTGATGTTTATGAAATATGATATTGGAGAAAACTCCTGAGAATGCCATGGATACTCAAATAGACCCAACAAATGAATAATCAAACAAATCAACTCAGAATGCTTACTAGAGGTTTACAGAATCCTACTTTAAGTAAATGTAAGACTTATCATATGAAAACTAGCTTTTTGGAAAAAGCTAGCTTTCCCTAGGACTAGGAAAGTGCTAGAAGAAAAGAGAAGAAGAGGCCGGCCAGCAGCAAAGTAAATGGACTAAGATACAGGTGCACCGTAGATTTTCACGGGTGTAGGTATCCTTGTCTTGTTGTATTCAGGTCTTTTCCCGTGTAAGATTGAGATTGTCTTGGCAACACCAGCCTGAAGATGGCGAGCGAGACCCCGCCGAAATGTTGCCAAGACAATCTCAACCAATTTTGAAACAAGTCATCTTCTCTGCTTCTGACGGGGATCATTTTTATTCTCATTGGCACTAATATTCTGTGACTATTACTTCCAACTTGTTATTTTGCTATCAATTCTTTCTTTTAAGAAACTTTCATTGTTTTTGTGGAGCAGTCTCTCGTTCATTTGGATTAGGACAGTGATGGCGAACCTTTTAGGCACCGAGTGCCCAAAGTACATGCGCGCTTGTGCATGCCCATACTGTAAGGGGTGCAGGGATGGGCGCATACGCACGGGCATTCCACACATGCAAGTGTGCCCCCCATGCATGCATCTGCGTCGCCTGTGCATGCACAGCAGAGACCCGAAACAGAACTTCTGTTTTGTCATTTGCAGAGAAACTTCTGTTTCCCTGCAAATGACGAAGAGAAACACCATAGAGAAACGCGGTGGAGCTGAGCTGGGATGACAACGCACATACACACAGAGAGGGCTCAGTGTGCCACTTCTGGCATGCGTGCCATAGGTTCGCCACCCCTGGATTAGGATGTCCATCAGAAGAGATGGGAGAGGTGTAAATAAGGCTGAAAGCCTTGCCACTTTTTACAATCAGTGGATTCTGCCTTCTTGACTTATTTGAAATCCCCTCTCCTCCTCATACACAGATGCATCTGACTGGGGGAAATTCTGCTCCAAATTTGGGCATTACTTTCAAAAGACCATCTGTGCCCACCAGTGGTGGAGTAAGGCTCACTGGTGTCCTAAGCACTAACAAATCTTGTTACCACCACCACCACCCCCCTTTGTACATACTGTACAAATCTTCACTGGGTTTTTTTTTCCTTTCTCAATTTTGTGGTGCACCCTTTGGGCCTGGTGCCCTAAACACATGCTTAGTCTGTTTAATGGTTAATACACCACTAGTGCCCACTACCCAGTGGTGGGATTCAAATAATTTAACAACTGGTTCTCTGACCTAATGACCAGCTAGCTAGGCGGGGCTTGGTGTCATGTGACCATGTGACCATGGCCAACTCAATGTCACTCAGGTCAATGGGCGCTTTGCCTTAGCTGTTACAANAAAAGCCTATTTAAACTGCAGTGTCTCTGTATGCTGGTTTGTGTTTTCTCCAACAACACTATCATAACGCTTCGCTGAACGTACTCACTCTTCCAACGGGGAGCTTACCTAACAGCTAGCACAAAATAAAGGTATTTGTGATTTACAGAGTATAAACCCTAAGATTAACACTTGGCAGAAGGGTCACAACTCTGCAAAAATTGATTTTTTTTATTTTCTGTAGGGAAATCCAGAAAAGAAAAAGCTCTCGCTTTGACATCAGCACAACCTGGGGAAAGCTCTCTAGCCCCCACTGCATTTTATCTATTCTTCAAAGCACAAGAAACTGACCTGAGGCCTTCACCCTCAGGGGAATACTGTCTGCAGTACTCAAGTGTGAAGGAATCTGTTGCTTTCAGGTTGCTGGTGCTCCATCGGATAGTAGCGGTGTCCCAGCATATGGTGCAGTCTTCTGATTTTATTTCAGGAGTTGGAGGAGCTGTGAATATAGGGGGATATTTGCTGAGCCACAAGAAGGGTTACAATTGTGGGTTTGTACCAGGGATGAAATTCAGCAGGTTCTGGAGAACCGGTAGAGGAAATTTTGAGTAGTCCAGGGAACTGGCAAATACCACCTCTGGCTGGCCCCAGAGTGGGGAGGGAATGGGGATTTTGCAGTATCCTTCCCCTGCCACACCCACTAAGTAACACCCACAGAATCAGTAGTAAAAAAAATTGAATTTCACCACTGGTTTGTACACACCAGAAGTAAAAAATCCAGGTATTTTTCTCTTAACCTATTAAAAATCTGTACTTGATTGTTCGCTTTTTATTTTCATTACAGGTAGTCATCTCTTAATTATCACTTGTTCACTGGCCTTTAGAATTTAACATGGTGCTAAATGAATGGTGCCTGGGACCCATTCCAGTACTTACAATGGTTGCAGTATCCCATAGTTACTGATTGTCATTTGTGATCTTCACTGCTGACTTCTGACAAGCAAAGTCAATGCCAACCACGTAATGTTGTGCTTAAAGATGGCACAAGAGTCACTTAATGGCAGAAATACAGCTGTTGCTAAGTGATGCAGTCACATGATATCACCCTTTACAACTGCATTGCTTAGTGATGGAATTCTGATCCAATTACCATTGTTAAGTGATGACTACCTGTATGATATTTCTCTCCTCTCCTTGTTAAATTTGTTATATTAACAACTGTTCTAAGGAATGATGGTCAAATAAGGTAAAGGTAAAGGTTCCCCTCGCATATATGTGCTAGTCGTTCCCAATTCTAAGGGGCAGTGCTCATCTCAGTTTCAAAGCCGAAGAGCCAGCATTGTCTGAAGACATCTCCGTGGTCATGTGGCCAGCATTACTAAATGCCGAAGGCGCACGGAATGCTGTAATCTTCCACCAAAGGTGGTTCCTATTTTTCTGCCAATCCACTCTTGTTTGGTCAAATGTTTCACTTACTG